ACAGATAATGATTTATTTCATAATGAAAGTAAATCACAATTATATTTGAAATATATTGGTTTATAGATGTTTTACTTTCACTAAGGAACAATCAAATTTTCATGAATTAGGCTAAGTAGACGTTGTACAATTCTTGTGGCTTAAAAAACATTTTTTTTTGTTGTTATCACTGTTTAACATCAAAATTTATGAAAACTTTCTGTTCTATGGTTTTTGACAATCTAATTTGTTACTTATGCAAAAAATCAAAATCAAAACTGAATTCCATAAAAATTCATTTATGAACTGTATTTCATTAAATGTACTTGTCAATTGTAATTAAAAATGCATTCAGTTTGCATCAAATACGGATTTTTGTTTTAAAAAAAGAGAAAATTTAATCTTAAATGCAACCAAATTCACGTCAACATTCATTTTTATTTCTATTCAGTAATTTATTACATAATTATTGACTGTTTTTAAATTTAATTATACTGTTACCAAAGAAACAAGAATTTCGGACGCTGAGATTAATAGAATTAACAGAGGAAATTTTCGCGATCAAAAACTAATGTATATTCCTATATCATTTAACAAATAAATGATGAAAGGAAACTGTAAAATAACGTTTAAAATATTATTGTTAAATTATAGGTTGTGTAAACAATATCTCTATTCCCTTGAGTATATATATATAATATATATATATATATGCAACTTAAGGTTATGTCAATAGGATGTAGAATAAACATTATTGGATTTAGGGATTGCTTCTATAAATCCATTTTTTGAATAACAAACAAACAAGTAAACAAACTGGAACTTCTTCAGATAACTATTTTTTACTAATGAAGTATACAGTTTATTTGGTTAAATTTATCTTAAGTGAGTCAGTTATATAAATAAAATGAAAAAAAAATTATTTTGTGAAAGTATCCATATGAGAAAGTTCAATGGATTTTGAATAACAATACTTATATTGTTAATTGAAGTTGATTTTAATTTCCACTATTTTAATATTTACGCACCTCTGAATGATACAGATGATTCATAATAAGATAAACAATAATGATAATAAAAACAACCAAGTTTAGAACTGACCTTGAGATGTTTATGCTTTGTATTAACCAATTAGAATATAAATCATTAACATGAATAATATAACTCTCCCCCCCCAGTGTTTTATTTACAACATTTGAAAGACTAAAAGTTTGATAAAGATACTCCATGGTATTTGTATTGTATTATGAACAGATTTTGCATAAATGTGTAGACTGGTTAATGGATCGAATAGATAATGTAAACTGACAATGATACAATGATTATATTGAAAATTCATTCAGTCATATATACTGATAACTGAGCCCATTATCAACAACAAGTGAACATGCAGAGTGTTTTCAGAGAACTAACCAAAATTTAAAAAAAAATCCATAACATATTGTATACCATAGTTACTAAATCGTTCACTAGAAAGAGTCAACATTATACTTTTCTTTAAGAAATAGATATTCTCATTTATAATGTGTAACTTCCACTTCATATACTACTTTTTTACTTCGTATAATGAATTCTGTCAAGTGCTCATTACTTTCTAGTCTCAAACATTTCTAAATTACTGATTGTCACTAGTACGAATGTTTTGAGATTGGATACAATGACAAACGTCTTAAACTTCGGTACCATGCTATTGCACAACAACTAAAATCTACTGGTTATCAATTGCAGCCAGTAAAGCTCAAAATGAAATCTTGTGTGTTATATTTAACAACCATACAGTAAGCACTCGTTGTCCTATGACTGTATAAATGCCTTGATGACTTGCATCAAAATACACAAAATGTCAATTTAACGCTTTCGGCTAGTTATCATGAACTACCCAAAATGGAGCAATATCAACTGTAAAATCAATCAAGTAAATTAGATTAAAGGAGGTCGATCATAACAACATCATTGAAAAAATAACAGTGATCAATTTTTCTCTATAAATTTGTAGGGTATTTCAGATTTTGTCTGTATACAGCATAAATTAGTTGCATTTTGATAGAATAAATACCTAATTACATCAATAATATACCATCGCATTCGTTAGCATGATGATAAATTGAATGGGGACAATTATAATTCATTGCTGACAGATATGACTTCTAAAGCACTAACAGTAGTACCAAAATTCAAAGAGTTCTGCTGTAAGTAACGTGAAATAACTGAATTACGTAAAACCTGTCTAAATGTTGCGTTAAATTACATAATTTGAGTTCATAGCACTAGCAATAAGAGCAACCTCTGTTAGTAACTTCGACATTTCAGTTAGCGACCAGTCAGAGTGAAGCGGGAATTAACATTTCCGCTATCACTGTAAGCGATGGTGGTCGGCTTGCTTCGTTCTGTGTGTTGTTCCGCTGGTGTTTTAGCGTTCCTATAGTATTTGATCTCTCAGTGTGCCGGAATTCCATAATTTATATGATACTTTCAATGTTGAGGCTACTTTTTTCAACAAGTTCTGTTTTTTCAGTTTCTACTACCTCTACTACTACAACACGACTACTATTACTACTACTACTCAGGTCAGTGTATTCTTTCCGGTATGTATTTCATGTCACAGAATGTTAATCCGCTTTGTTCTGAGTATTCCTTCGTATATATCAGACACTAGTGTGCATTTTTCTCCTTATGATCAATGTTGCTATTACATGGGAATTTCTAACCGTTCGCATACTCGTTCTCGAATTTCGCTTATTATGCTATTGAGAACAATGAAAAAAAAACGATTTCCGGTATGTTAGTTCTTATCGTATTATAGATAACCCTCTTCTGTTAATAAGTCACACAAATACTGAGTATCTAGTTGTGAACATGAGTGATGTATTCAAAAGTTTTATGAAACCCAAGTACCTGACAAACTGGGATCAAGTCAGAGATGCTATTTAGTTAGTTACTGAAAATATTCCACATAACGTTATTAGATGACTTGGATGAATTACGTGGTTCGTTGAAGTAAGCTGAATGACGAAAAGCCGAGGATCTGTTATCATTATGGTGTGTAGGTTTGTTAATTCGACCATATGACGAGTTCACTGACGTTATGTACGTAAACATGACCATTACTCTTGTCCACGATACACTTATTTGACGCGACAATATTGAGTATATTTTCACCGCACGATAGTATTGGAGTTAAAATAAGTCGGTGTTTATTTATTTAATGATGAAAAATATTTCAGGGCATTAATCACCACCTAACACGGTTTTGTGATTCATTTTAAGCGGTTCATGCAAAAATAATGCAAACCCACAACAATTATTGAACTTTTTCGTATCCTATCAAATAGACTAACTTCATTTCAGATTTATAAATGCACCCATCTCTTACTCAAGTACATTAATATTTAAAAGTGAAACTTACGATTTAATGTATTTAGTTATTTTATTTGTTAGTATAAGAATTCTGTGAAGGATTTAGGGTGCTTTGTTAAAACGATGTAACGACCCACTGTGAAAACGAACTCGGTGAATAGATTATTCGTTCTGGAGTGGGATACCTCAAATAATGTCCATCCACAGCCCAAAGTATTCAGGTATTGTGGCCATTACCAGTAGAGCCATTTCAAGCGCTAGTCATGTATTACCATGTTGGTTAAGCAATATCGGAGAATGAGTTATTTTTTACTTTAAGCTTAATAATTGTTTATTTATAACCGAATTCTTAAAACTGGCTACAATTCACTATTTCCATTTACCACAATATTTTTCCTACTGCATTCGCACATCATATTTAGAATTCATTTTGATTAATGTGGGTTTTTAACAATATGACATACAACTAGAGACTAATATTAAATAATATGATTACTTTTGAAAAATGTTAAATTTAAAGTACACAATCGCTCTGTTTTAGCTTTTATCAGCTGTTTAACTAACTGAAATACCTAATCGTTTATAATCTAATTATAGTTGTGGGTCACTTTGGCGGTATGCTTGAATATCTAGACTACCTGTTCCTATCATCTAGATAATTGACAGGTTCTTTGTTCTTTGTTTTGTAACATGGCACTATGTCTATTAACCGCACGACCTATTCAGGTGCGTGCATAAAAAGTTTACAACCTTTCGCTATACAAATTGTATAATCTGAGAAATCATGATGGTTGGTAGTATGCATTAAAAAGAATGAACATTATTCAAATGTTGATTCCCAAACTACTAACATCTAACCGTCTATTTCTTAATATTTATCATCAGGACCGATCAAGCAATAAGAAAATAAAACTTGTTGAAATACTTTGTGCTGATCACTTTATACTGCATTGAAAATATAATATTGAATAAAGCCATTACTAATAATAATAAGGACAAGTTCATGAATATTAAATTTTTTTTCCCTTGATTAAATAGCTGAAACAAGGTTATACAAATGATAAATATTATAGATTTGAACTATACACCAACTACTTTGATAGATACTCAAGAAAGAGAAATCAATTTACTCTTTGCATATACATTTGAATACAATCATAAGCAATGTGATAAGTTCATACAAAATAATCGTCTATTTCAAGTTTAGCTTCATTTGAACCATATATATACATAACACTCAAATATTCAGAACTAATAATAATATCATGATATATTGTAAAGTAGAATAAAAAGTTTAATCTAACTGACCCGACATGAATCACCATGGAAATAAATTTTACTTATCAACAAAAAACAGGGAATTTCGTTTCTATATATATATAAGTGAATTGTGTTTTTTCTTTCTTCATATATTACTCTATGGATTACCTATTAAAAACAATTGCTCCCATGAATGATATACATAAATTAATCTTAAATGAAGAGAATCCAAATTACTTTTCAATCAAATATTTGTTTCAATGAATAAATGTTCAACTAATCATTCATTCACAGTATCTAATGGATTGTTTATTTATTGTTAAAGTGATAGGGTTTTTTTTTGGAATTTGTAAAAAAAAACATGATCAATATCCAAAATTACAAAAACAACAAAACAAACTTACATCCATTAACTCTTTTGATAAAACTTTAGAAAATAATCTATCAGATCGATATAATTTTTTATCAGATTGACTTGAGAATGATAATTTTTTTAAACGACTTGTAGATGATGATAAAGATAATGGATGATCAATATTGATCTCATTTCGAGCATTATCATTATCTAATGTAATACTACGTAATAATGGATTTTTTTTCTTTGATTGAAATGTTTCTTTGGTTTTTGTACTTTTTAAACTAGATTTTAATTCATTAGTTGTTTTTAAATCTTGTTTAGAATTTCCGATATTACTATTATTACTGGTAGATTTTGTATTATTTCTTTCTTGTATTGATGATGATGATGATGTTGACCAATTTGTAATAATATTAGTTGTTTGTTGATTTGGTGATGAAGATTGTAAATCATTAGTAAAACGTGAAGTGTTTATAATAAGATCAGGATCATTTGAACTTGTCCAACTTGTTGCACTCATTGATGAATCATATGATTCAAATGATGGTTGTTGTGAAACACGACTTACAGCTACTAAAGATGAATGTGCACTAGGACTTGGATTAAGTACATTTAAAAGATGTGGACTAACTGATTTTCCTGAAGAAAAATATGTATTCATTTGATTAGTATATCGTTTTGTTGAATAGTCCAAATTTGATTGTATTTCATTTGGTGGATTTGAAGTAGTACGTTGTCTTTGTACTGAATTATAGCAATAATCACATGATTCTATGTAAGTATTATCCATGTCATCCGTTTTCATTGAATGCTGTCTTTTAAGGTATTGATCAGAACGTTTCTGAGATATTTGTCGTGACATAACGTCGATTTAGTGTTTTTATGGGTATTTTATATTTACATGTACTCTATCTCTATATAATAAGTTGAGGCAATATTTAATATATGCAAAGATCACATCAATGTTCAAGTAATATTTTATTTATTACTTCAAACGTATATCAAATTCAATTAATATCTTGTTTTATTATACAAGACGTTCAGGAAAACTATCACCCAATTTCATTTACTGGGTGTTGCAAACTAAAATATTACATATATGCAATTAATTGAATATAACTAACCATTTATATGTTTATCTGTTTAAACCAAACTATACTATAAGTTGGAGTAGTAAAATTATAAGTAAAACAGATAAGGTACTTTTTCGGATAAAAAATAGGATTATATGAAAACAATATGCTACTATGCAAATATGCATCCACATGTATCTGATATGTATTTATGTATAAATTGAAAGAAAATAAATTTACATGTTGTGTAAACTGATTGGTCAAAATTTATTCAAAGGTTATTCAAGTAAAAACGAATCTAATTGGTTTTGGTATTAACTTAAGTTTTTTTTCATAGTATTAATTTATATTCAATTCTGTAATTTTAATTATGGGTTGGTCAGGTCATAATACTACAACTTGTGTCTTGTAATTATAGATATATATGGAAGAATAAGAATGGAATATCACAAAATGATAATCTCTTATTTTATTTCTATTATTTAACTGAAAGGAAATTCAAAACTTAATAAAATTATTTCTGTTTTATTGTAGTAATGACAATGGATCAGTAGTAAAGTTCTAAATAATCTTGTTTTCGGATCATATTATCGATTCGTTATGGTTTCATGTGCGCAAACATAAACTGAATAAGTGCATTTCTGAATAAAACTCCTTACCATCTACATTACAGAGATTAACTATATTCATAGTTATCTCAACTTATATTTAAAGGATATTTTTTGGGTTTGAGGTTCATAGTTAGAGCTAACACTAATAAAGATATATACAACTTATCCATTTCAATTAAAACGAAACACATATCCTGTATCCCACTACTAATCATACCCCAAAGTAATCCCTTCCCCTCCAAAAAAATAAATGATTTGAGAAACTCTAGCAATTATTAGTATGCCGACATTTTTATTCATATCATTTGTAAGAGCCACAAACTTGTTGCTAATTAAAAGTAAACAATCTAGGATATAAAATTATTATTTTCACATTTATACTTCAAATTATCAAAGATGAACATGATGATAAATATAGTGCTTTTTCTGATAAAAATCTTTACAATAACTAAAACCACCGCATAATAACTATGATACGATACATAAATACATAAAATGCAGTCATGAGCTTTGCTCTCCCTATGTAAAAGTACACAATATATATTTCATCGATTTTTTTAAAGATTTATGTTTTAGGAAAAACAATTGAACTATAACATTGACAATTTTATTTCTCTTCTATGCCTTTTTAATCAAACCAAACATTTGTAATCTGAACACAAGTAGTAATAACATCCTTCATTATTAGGTGAGCTTTTTCATACTCCATAATAAATATGTAAATATTTGGTGAGTTTTGGGACTCTCCCTAGTAATAACAGTATGATAAAAGTAAAAAAGAATAGTAATTTTCTAGAGATATTTTATCACTTTGTAACGTTGAGTGTCTAGATGTATGCAAATTAATAAACAATCAGAAAGCTATTTAAATTTCATAGAAAATAAACATAATTCATATTCAAATCTTACTAGGTTATTATCCACATTCATAATGTATGTTAACTCTCATATTTTTTTATACAAGACAAATATGACGTCATACAAATGGTTTGAATGTTAGTTTGGGACTAAATTTTTAACAAATTTATTCATCAAATATTTTAGGGAATGGTATAGATTGTAGTATTTTCACAGTCGAATTCACGACTTGATTTAATCTAGAACACTATTGAAAACCTGGAAACACCGTAAGACCATTTCGTTCTAGTATGAGACTCCTCAGCAGAGAGTATCTACGACCCCCCCACATGCTTAAATTTAGATATTAACACTGTTACGTGCTAGAGTAGGAATCTAAAGGTTAAGCATTGGTGCAGGAAACCGAAGGTTCAGGGTTCAAGTTATGCTGAATAGTGTCATACTAATAAAAAATAACCATCCAATGCTTCTAGGTTTTCAATGGTGATCTAGCTTAGATTGACTTGTGTATTCAACTATGAAAATATTTTAATTATCTATCATTTTTAAAAATAAAAAACACATTTTATATAATAAAATATCAAATCAATTTGAAGCCTTGTTCAATTTGATTGTTATTTAATTCGTCAAAATATTTATCATAATTTTTTTTGAAATTTCCAATATGTGCTTCTTGCCAATAGTAATTATGATCATTGACTGATTTGGAAACGTTTAGTATATTTTTTATTATTTTTTATTTAATTAAATAAACAACGATTATTTAAAAAAAATTAAAAAATATAATCAGAAAAAGAAAAAAGATTAGTTATGAATTACAGAAATTGTAATATTAGTAATAATTTTCTAAAATAGGATTGCATACTTAAATAGTAAGACATACAAACTAAAAGACTCAATTCAATTATATAGGGAAGGGGGTTTTGTGGATATTATAGTAGTTTCAATAGTTGAGATCATAAGTCATTTGAAGAAAACCTGGAAGCACTGAATGGCAATTTCGTCCTCCTCAGCAGTGTGTGTCCACGATCTTGCCTCGAGAGGTTCGAACCCAGGAGCTGTCAGTCTTGAGCGCGAGTGCTTAACCATCAAACTACTCAGAGTTATAACTGTTAAATCTGGATGGGAATAATGAATGGTAACTGTTGGAATCTATTTCTGGACTAATACTATATTTATATTTTTATCGTATAATTCTTAAGCAACTATTCATATCCGTGTTTCTCTTATTATAAGCATTATTTTGACTTATGAACTATCATCAAACGATTTACTATTCGTGAGTTATATCCGGTCTGTTAATTACAGTCTCCAATATTCACAGTCACTTTTGGCTAGATCTTATACAAATGTTATTTTCTATTTTATGGTACGATGTGGTCTGTTTGGTTTGTATATAAACCCAGTATGTTTGAAATACATAATTCATATCGCAGAGACTGAGATCGGTGTTGTAGACTTAACAGGCAGCATTAAGCAGGAAGTGTGACGGATAAAGTCTATAGACTTCTTGTATGGGTTGACGCGTTATTGGTCTGGTCAACAATTTATTGTTTTCTAATTGGCGGTATCATTTCATTGTATAATAATAGAGCACAAGGCTACAAGTTATAACTATATCTTTGATTTTCATTTATTACAAATAATTTGAAATAATTACATAATAAAATTGGTCAGTTGCAATAACAAAATCTTTAAAATATCAAAAATATACACTTTGTTTTGTAAAACAAAATAGTAGATGATTATCCTAAACTATTAAGGAACATCTTTAGTTTTAGAAAACGTTTTACAGTATTCAGTCTCTTTAAATAAAAAGTCATGTAATCTGGACATTTTGATACAATCAGTGATGATATAAAATTATTCAAATGAATTCCATTCATTGAATACAAAAGTAAAATTTTGTGACAATAAGATGTGAACATTTAAATTCAAGTATTTCAAATGAATCGAAAGACAATACTTATTTCTCTGACTTTGAAGTAGACTTTATCAATTATGACCACAAGTTTAGATTATTTTATCTTTCGAATACACATGTGATGTATAAAAAACATTTGGAAATTTGTGAAATTTACTATTCTCTATGGAATCATTTTTTTAAAGGTAAAAAGTGGAGTATTCTACATTTACATTTAAAAAGTAACAATCACATTCCAAGTTAACAAATTTTAACTGTAGACTCAAACTGATAAGAATCATTTCTTATGTATGTTTATCCAATAGCCTATAATGATGCCATAATATAATAACGATTTGAAATAGAAAAACAGATTTCCGGTACGTCAGCTGGATGTACCCGCATCACAGAGTTTATGTTCACTCCGGGACTCGAGTTCAGTACTGTTCGCTTCAGTCGCCATCGCGTTATCCACTTAGCTACAGAATCCTGATAGTCACCTGCTTGTGCAATGGGGTGAAGTTTAAATTCAGGTACATCCAACAGAGGAGTACCGAATAGGACAAAACGCGCGTCCTGGATTCCACTGCTAGAACCTATCCATCTTTGATTAAAATTCTTGTGACTTGAGGCTACATCTAGGCAATCCTCACAGGATACACATATGCCAACATGAGACTGATCAATTTCAGTCTTAAATAACAATGAGAAGATATAAGTAAAACAACCACAAGTGGGATTTCTGATACATTCAAAGTTTTTTCAGCACTTAATTCAACTTTCAGAAGATAATTGGTCAATAAGATATTTTTTTCTTATTTCGAAAAGATTATTACCAATCTTCACATTTATGTATACAAATCATTTACTGATTGTATAAGAAATTAGTGTTCATTTTGATAGTGTTATAACATATTATGTGCTACATTCAACCGGTAGCTCTATTAATATATATTTAGCTCAAACCTATATGTTACACAAAGAAATATATGATTTCATTGCCTGATGCATTTTAACTCAGATGGTTTGGAATTTAATTTCTGATTTCATTATATCCACAATATTTTTACATTTGAAAATATCTCGAAGAACAGACGCATAATTATTGACTTTGAAAAAGTATAAATTTCAAAATAAAATGCCATGTTTGTCTTTATATAAGATGTGTTTGGTGTTTAGTTCTGCAAAAACGAATTCACACACTAGATGAACTACGGATTAACACTGTTTAATAACGAATAGTATAACTACTTCGTAACAATGAACATGTTTTGCTTTCTTGATTTCTAAATCGGATATTTGACAATGAAAACTTTGTAACACGTTTTATACACCACTAGAAGAGTATGTTGTGATTCATAAATTAATTTTCACCAGTTCATTGACCTATAATTTTATTAAGTGTAAATCTTGATTCATTTAAAATCATAAACCATTCAGTGTTTTCTGTTGCAACATAGACAAAACAATGAATGTGTTGGAAATGACTTAAGACTGGAACAACCATTAGTTAAACAAATATGTTATTCTAATTGTTCTGCTGAATAATCAATTTCAAATATTGTCTGGTAGACTTTTAACATAGCATACTTCAATATGAAGATTCTTACCATTACTGTTATATGGTATGTACTAGAATGACTTTTATTTAAAGTTTTCATGAAATCACAAACTAATAGCGTTTGTACAGTAAAAAGGATTCAATTTGTTTAAGAAACAACGAACAAACTGCTTGATTTCTGGTATGTGATATTGTAAACAAATTAAAATATAAAGCGACCAAGATAAACTTAATATCCAATTAGTTAAGAAATATTTGTTCTGTGTTCAGTTGAAAAT